TGTTTACTAAAGCTAAACCAAAGTAGAACAACTTAGGACACTAACCCCCCTTTCTTAGCAGATTTGTGGTCTACACATTCGAATTTTTTATAATGTATCACTTCCGGATTATGCCCCTTTCTGGTTTTCTCTTCTCGATTAAAAAAAAAAAGAGCTGCTCAGACGGCAATGCAGCACCAAATTCTTTGCATGATTACACTGAAGTGTTGATTTGAGGGTATTTCGACGTCCAAAGTTTTTAGTTACCGACTTAATGCTTACTTGAGCAATCCCCCAATCCTCAGATTGTCCTGTATTTTTTCCCCTCCCTTTGTCGACCAGTGAATTGAAGACGCTATAGTCTGGCTTCGCTGTCGGCAATGTTACTCTCCAGTTGTCTTGATATTTTCTTGTCTTACTTATTGAAATGGAGTCAGCCATGACTGTCAGCGAAGAAAACCTCCTGTGTTTTCTTTTTAGTGTCTTCTCTTCGCTCACGGTTTCTGTGGTGCCGCAGTTCGGCACTTTGCTGTCACAAGCAAAAGATGTGAATTCAATTCTCATGTTGACGAAGAGACTGTTTTTTGTTGAAAAAAAACTTACAAGTATATATTATATCCCCACTATTACTTTGTCAAGAAGACCAGCATCTGTGGACCAATGATCAGACCCTTTGCCCTTGCACACAGAAGACTGCGGGTTCAACTCTCAGGTAGAAAATATATTGAGTGTCTCTATTTGTCTGCTGACATGCCTTCTCCCATTTGGTCTTGGCAAGCCTTGGCGGGCAGGGTCAAAGTCGTTCATTACCCGAATGATCTAAAGTAGGGCGTGTAAGGCATGAGAGACGTGTGCTGTCAGTGACGCATAGTCGGGGGCAAGAAGAATGGAGACCCCTTCTGAAATGTGAACGTCCAGTTTTCCCAATTGCCTCTCTCGTTGTGGCACTACCAAGAAGATTGGCATTTGCTGGCTGAAATATATATTATGTTTATGTATGTGTGTGTGTATATATAATATGTGTGAAAGTACGTCACTTTGGTCGCCTAAAACTTCCGAACTGCGTAACTTTTGAATTTGAAAAAAATTAACAGTGGTTCAGAATCATTTAAAGGGAGCACAGTTATATTAAGGTGAGACTTCCGTTCACAAGCAGTGCGCATTGATCCCACGATGACTTGACGATTAATTCCTTTGAGTCGGTTCTTCAACCAGAGCAACAAGGAAGCAGGCATCTGCTATGAACACAAAAGACACGAGTTCAATTCCTGTATGGGAAAGTTATTTTACTGAGTAACTCCGTCTGTCTTTCAGCATGATGTGTTCCATTCTGGCGGTATTGACCCTAATTGTAACAGCCCGCTGTATCAATGATGTTAATGCCAGTGACAAGTAGACATTTGTGCTGCTATATGAAATACAGAAAAAAGTCCTAGTTTTCCTAATCCATTGTTCCCCTCTGTTCCAGTGACTAGGAGACATTTGTGCTACTGTATGAAACACAGAAAAAAAAATACTAGTTTTCCTTATCCATTGTTTCCCTCTGTCCCATTGACAAGGAGAAGTTCGATCTTTGGGTTATATGAAATACAGAAAAAAGTCTTGTTTTCCTAATCCATTGTTCCTCTCTGTTCCAGTGACAAGAAGAGTCTGGTGTCGCTATCTGGGAACCACGGCCTGGACGTGCACGTGCAGCACAGTGTGAAGATGGTGCCCTCCACGCAAAGGCTGAGTGTCCTCATAGCGCCCAAGGTGAACAACGCAACAGCTGGACGGGGTAACAGCTCGGTGCCAGCCAAGGGACGGTGAGTGATTGTGTGTGTGTGTGTGTGTGTGTGTGT